TATCCGACACTCTCTTTTTGTTTCTTACTATATTTAGTTATATAGCCTTTATATTCTTTAAGCATAAGAAATGTAGTTATTTTATTTGATTAAAGAAAATTGGTTTAGTGATATCAAGGTTTTTAAGATATTAGATTTGTTAGTTTTATTTTCTTTGAAGCAATAGTTATTGTAATAGGACTATTTGTAAGTAATATATGCCAAAAGAAAAGAAAAAGAAAAGAAAATAGGTGAAAAAGAAGAAAAATAAAAAAAATATATTCCCCGACAAGATCACATTAGTCTTTCTTTCAATTTTGATCGATGAGACTCGAAACAACATCAACACAAAGTTAGAACTTTAGAGGAATACTCGAAAATCTAAATGTTTGATCAACATAACTGAGTCAATAATAATAGGAGTAGAGACGAGGAAATAGTTAAGATTGGCATCTAAGATATACAAAAATCGCACACTTTCGATATCTTGGGTCGATAATCTAGAAAAATGAAGAGTTTGAGGAAGATATTATACTTATAATTAGAGCTGGATAGACGAAGTAGAAATGCGCAATTGGAGTTTTATTTGATTATCACATACCAATGAAGTGAAACGGATAATTTTTTAGGACAATTGTCAAACCAGTTTTGTTTTATGGGGCAGAATGTTGGGCAATCAAGACATAACATACCCATAGAATGAGTGTAGGTGGAATGATGATGTTAAGATGGATGAGTGGTACAAGAAGGGATCAAACTCGAAATAAATACATTCAGAAGAATTTAGGTGTGGCACCAATAAGTGATGAGATGAGAAAAAATAGACTTCGGTAAGTTGGTCATGTACAACATATGCCCAATATAATACTTATTAGAAAGTGCGAGTTAAATCAAGTGGATGGCTAAAAAACGACAAAGGACATGATTGAAAGTAGTGAATAAAGATATAAGGAGTTATGACCTCATAAAGATATAACCATAATTGTGTAGCCGATCCTAATTAGTTGAGAAAATATTTTGTTGATGATGATGGTGATGATGATGATGAAAGAATTAACTACACCGTATCTAGGAGAGCCTAGAAAAAAAAATTATCACAATATTTATAATAAAATTAGGTTTTCTCTAACATTTTCAGGAAGCTTTTGGCCAAGAAAAAATAAAAAAGCTAAATATTACTAAAAAAATCTAAAGTGATATTCAAGACAACCTATAATCCAAAAAAATTAATTTAAATATTTAATTTGCAATTTTTTTAAAAAATTTCAGGAAATAAAATGATTACATATATTATTAAAAATTTTCTAAGTCCCTCTTAAGACATCGAGAACCAAAAGAAAGATTCAAATAATATTTCTGAAAGTTTTTGATGTCTTTGAACTTTTTGAGGTATATCCTAAACTAAAAACAAAAAATCAAATTAAATACAAATATTATTAAATTTTGTCTAAATCCCACATAAAACGACCTAAAAAGTTATTCAAAAAGCTATTTTTAAAATATAAAAGCAGAAAATAATATAAATAAAACATATAAATTCATAAAAAACAAAAACAAGTATTCGCTTCATCTAATAGGACGTTTCAATCAATGAAAAATTAAAATGAAAATATATTTTAAAAAAAAGGCAGAAAAAATAGTGAAGAAAACAAAAATAGATCTTGTAAATTTTTGGTTTTGATTCAAAAGTTTCGAATAGGCCTTCTGTAGATCAATGAATTAGGAACATTTTAGGACAAATTTAAAGAAATTTAGTGAAACATTTAATGAGAAATATTTTTTTTTATATTTGGTAAAAAAAAAGTCCTAAAACTAGAAAGACAAAAATAGATCTTGTAAATTTTTGGTCTTGATTCAATAATTTCTAATAGGACTTTTGTAAGTCAATACATTAGGAACGTTTTAGGACAAATTTGAAGAAATTTAGTGGACCATCTAATGAGAAAATAATAAAAAATTGATATTAAGTAAAACAAAAGTCCTAAACCTTCGACTCTTTATTCTCTTAAAAAATGAGCATCAATCCAATAAATTAAAATATGGATTTGTTAGAGCGATAAATTAAAATATGGATTTGTTAGAGCGATAAAAAATTACCATTTTGAAGCAAAGGTCAAAGATTTTGGTTTATTATTCAACGAGAAATAGATAGAAAGGCGGATTAGGTTTCAAAAAAATGAAAAAAAAAAACAAGGAAAAAGACCAAATATTAATATTAAAGTTTCATGATTAAAAAAAGAAGAAGAAAAGAAACCAAATATTAATATTAAAGTTTCACAAATTTTTAGGTCATTATTGGGGAATGGCTTTGGGTTTATTGTAGATCGTGAAGGGCTGAGGCAAAAATCTTTTTTTTTTCTATTTTTGTTTTAAAAAATAAAAAGTAAAAAGGGTACCTAGGCTGACTTGCCCAATTCTAGACGAGACTTGGCGTAATACCCATCTATTCCAATTCGACTCGGTATTTTCCTGGTCGATATTCAATTCATAGTCGATTCACAGTTCAAATTGAATTTTATTTTATTTTATTTTTATTTTATTTTTTTTCGAGGAGATTTGATTATTAAGATGAAGAGAGTGTGTGTGCAAATTTTGGGGTCATATAAATACCACAAACATGATTTTCTAGAAGTGTCTTTGCATTATACTATGATACAACAGTTGCATTAGATCATTGCTCTATTATAAATACACATATGCCATCCTAAAAATGTCGTAGTACATATATCCTTAGGACCTGATGATAACCATAAGCTGGAAAATCCCTGGATTTGGGAGTTCTACCTTCTTAGAAGCTGGAACATAGGATATCTGGAATTGGCAAATGTTGTATTTGATAACCTATATGGAATTTTAAGGAAACTTTGATTAAGGATGTAACTTTGGAAATATGAAAGTTTCCACATAATTGTATTTGAAATTCATCATTCTTTATTAGGAAAAATTAATTTTTTACTTGCAAGCCCATCCATAAAAATTATACTTTCATGGGAACATTGATATACAACCATATGTTGGGATTTGTAGCCTTCAAAGCCTATTAGAGCATATAAAAAAAATCGTAATCATAGTAGATATGTACCCCAATGGGAGTGTGGTCCTTATAAGACCAAAATGATACTTTTTATTTGATGGATGACTCACCTAGGTTGAACAATCAATATTCGATTGAGCCGAAAACTTTACTCCGGACATATTGCATAACTGAAGAGAGTTTCATTGGAAGGATCGATTGTTTAGATAAGAGAGATGCCCATAGATATTTTTGGAGCTAAAATGCTGAGAGTCTTCTGCACGCTTTGGAGACTTGCGAGTGGCATGTACGACTATACTATGGAAAATGACTTGAAAAAGTGCGTATACATGTACTGAAGAGAGTACCCTAATTCGGCTACCCGATCGCTTAGGTGGCCACTTAGGTAAAAAATTTCAAAAAATGCCTAGGCTTTGGGAACCTGCCTTGTTACACTTTGCAGAAGGGCAAAAAAACCTTTGACGATGATAAAAAAAATGTCATTTCCCCCCTAAAAAGGGGGGAAAAAGGTTTTGAGGGTATTTCAAACTCCAAAACAAAAATTGTAGCTTTAAAGGTGAGAAAATCTCCCCAAAAAACTACTCTTTTATGATTTATCGAAAGATCGATAAATTTTTGATTTTTGCAATTTTTTCTCAAAACAAAAGCAATAGTTCGTGGCTAGATTTAGAGCTTATAGTAGTTGATTTTGAGGATTTTTGGCTACCCAATAGACGAAGTTTGCACCGACATCGATTTGATTTTGATATTTTTAAAATATTATCATATTTGAAAGATGATATCATAATCATTTTCATGGTTAAAGTTTAAAAAAAAGAGAAAAAAGAAATCAAAGACAAATTTTTAGCAGAGGCAAAATAACGTAATAATTTGCATATTTCAAAAAAACATTTTTGAGATCGATTTTGGACGAACACACTTAAAGATTGGAGCAGCGTTTTAAAAAACGCCGAGTCGAACAGGACTCGCCCGGTTCGACTCGGAAATAGTGAAAAGGGACCGGATTGCCCAAAAAATCGGAAATCGTCCGTTCTAGAGAGAACCGGACGATTCTGTACAGTGAATCGCCGATTCACTGTACGGAATCGGCTAGTCCGAACAGTGAATCGGCGATTCCGTACGGTTTATTTTTTTTTTTTTTTTTTTTTTTTTTTTTTTTATTTTTTTTTTTTTTTATTTTTTTTTTTTTT